GACTAACAGATAAACCTGTGAACTTTGTCAAGCTGGTAATCGAACGAGTGGGCCACTTGTTACATGAATCTCCAGGTCTTACAAGGTGACCTGCACAAGTTCCTTTAAGTACCGTTTGGTACCCCTCCAAGTCGGACTGTGCCGTCTTTTCTTTTTATTCGTTTGAAGGAAGTCCATGTTCGACTTAATCTCAAGACTCAATCTTGGCATGATGTATACCGTTCTTGTATTTCTTCTAGCCTTTCCAAGATTGAGCAAGCTTTATTAAATTCAAGGTAAGCCAGCGTTCCGCCCTAGATCGATACCGTTGGGTGTTTTACTGGTATGTGGAAATCGTCTTGAGTATTGTTGAAATGTTTGAGCGAGCAGGTCTCGAAATGTTTTTTGACCATTTCAGGCTCTGACGAAGGCGAAGACGCCGAAACGTAGGCCTTCAATAAAGTTGCTCAATCTTGGAAAGGCTAGAAGAAATACAAGAACGGTTTGAAGGAAAACTTTTTGAACACCGAGAAAACGAGACAATCGCTTGCATTCTTCTCAGGTTATTCTGAGATCTTCGCGAAATTTACCGTAAAGCTCTTTGGCTTCTGTTCGCATATTCTGCAGAGGCGCTTTGGGTGGTGTTCATACTTTGCGAATGTAGATGAAGTGCGTATTGGGAGCGATCGCACATAAGAAGGTGTAGGTATCGATCCGCTGGTTCGAAGAACTCGAAGGTTGTGCAAAGTCGTGGTTTTAGATGGCAATCGATCGACTCCACCCATTAGCGTTTTTCCGTTAGGCAGCGCTCAGACTTCGCGATAACGGGCGCAGACGCGCCACCATTATAACAACGCTGCATTGCAAACGGAAGGTAGACAGAGACGGGTTTCGCTGCAGTGGTAGCGCGTCTTCGCGCGTCGAAATGCGCGGAGCGCGTATTCGCGCGTCATCGCGCACGCTACCTTAGGCGTTACCGCGATATTTGAGTGATTCCATACTTCCCCAAAATGTGTTGTTATTCGAACCGCTGTAAATAGGTGTATAAATGAGAACATTAAAAATTTTGATAATTTCCTAAAAATCACTGACTTTTGGGCTCTTTTTTCGATACTAACTTCAGTTATTTTACAGTTTGCCGCTATCGATCGGGAATCTGCAAAGCACCTGGTTGTTGCTGGACTACGAGGATTAGCTCACTGTTCTCTTCCAGGAGTTCGATGGAAAATTTTTGGCAACGAGAACCAAGTAGGTCTTGAAATGTTACTGTTAAAATATGTTCTCTTCATCAAGTATTGTTGCAGAGAATATTCATGAGCAAAACCACTGCCTTGTTCAGGAGTCTTCTCTGATGGTGACTGGAGGCGTGTTGCTTTGGGGAGGCACAGTCGGCGCAGCTTGCTACGATTTGGAAGCCTGTCGTGAACAACTGCGATTTTATCCTATCAACAAGAAACTGGACAATCGTTTTGCTTCCATATTTGAGATGGAATGTCGTGTCATCATGATGTCGCTAAGGTGAGAAGCCTGTGCGGACTTCCGCTTCTATGGAAGGCTGACAGTTTACATTTTTGAAGAATCCGCGAATGCATTGGATACATATCGTCCAAGAGAACAAGAAGAATCGAAGCGCGAGGGTTTTTCCGAGCTCGCAGGCGATGAACAACACTTTTCTTTTTCCTCTTTTTAAAGATTGGCTGTAGCGATAAAACCTATAACATCATTCTGAACACCTACTGTTACGGTTACCGTACACAGCATTTCGTGAAAAATAGCGAAAAAAATAAGACGTAGGTAAGAGGATGAGGATAGGTAATTTATTGTCACAAGGAAAGATTGCTATCACATAACGTGGTGTTCTATTTTAAGAAGCGATGCACTTGGTGACATTTGACATCGAAGGACGCATAATTATGCACCGCTTGATGAGAAATGAAGAGAGCTCGGGTGATATTGTAAAAGTGAGTTCTTCATGTGCTGTATACCGTCGTTATCGCTGAGGTTGATCGGGGCGTGTCACCAAGACGTGGGTTTTGACGCGGCGCCAGACCAATTTCCTTCGATCACTACGGGTTCAGGCTCTCAACGAGCGGTGGGAAAGGGGCGTCCAAAACCCTAGGACCGACTGACGTCAGTGGTAACAACATAATAAGGTTGCCTGCTTCAATTTGTGTTCTCGGTGATCAGTCAGACCAGAATTATTTTTAGATTTCTGTGGACCGTATCGCTGAGATCCGTGTGGGCGACCTTGTCACTCATCCGGCTTGTTTAGTGTCTATACACTTGACGCAGCTAAGCCTTGATCCAAGTAAGTCTAGCCATCTCTGTGATCTCCTTTTATAGCCACGAAAGGATAACCAAAACACATTTCTATGGATTTCACTCATAATTTCTATGAAGTTGCAACAACCTTTCCTTCAGCTGCTTCTTCCTTCTTTCCTGGTGTGGATACGGTGCTTATAAACGTCTCGGGCCGACTGTTAACTTTGAATCCCCACAAGGTGACAAAGGACGTGGAGCCCAATGAACCGTTTCAGGTGGTCGTTTACATTTCCTATCCCCTACGTAATATCCAGTTCCTGACGCTATTGTTTTCAGCTGAGTCAGCCGATAATGGTAGCATCGTTCGTGGAACAAGTGTGGCATTGCCGAGCATTGACTGACCGAGAACCACCTGGGCTTCCTCATCTGCTGAATGCTCTCTGGATAAATTGTGGATCACGGGGAATGCGGGTACTTATTAGATTTTCATACTGTTTTGGTCAGAATTCTGGCACAGTTCCACTTGGGGGGAGTGCATTTTGCACTTTCGGTACTTCCCATCGTCGCGTCAAGCCATTAAGTACGGATCTGTGAAGTCTTATGAAGCCGTAAAGTGATTGACACCATTCAGAGTTAGACAACTTGTCAACTTTTGGAATACCTGTCGATTCTTGCGAAGTAATGAGCGCGACTATGGGAAGTAGCGAAAGCGCTAAATGACACCCGCTCCCCCCAAGCCGAATTGTACTAGCAGTTGTTTTGGCAATAAGTTCAAGTTCACAGGTGTGGCTACCGCTGATATCAGGACGACGTGGAATGGTTTCTCAGGACACATCGTTCATTTCGAAACGAATAATGTTGCCGTTCGAATTGGATATTTGTCCTTTAGGTGAGATCATTTGGTAAAACTGTTGTGATTTATGATTACTTCATATTTTCTACTAGTAAGGGATAAGGCTCTGGCATTGATCAGTTGACCTATAAGTTAGCATTTTTACCTTCCCAGACGAAACTCGTACGAATTTACCGGCTCTGGTGTGTAAAGGCTGGGTTGGCCTGTTTGGTCATTCTTCCATTACAGACGACAAAGGGCCGCATTAGGCCCTCTTGATCTCTAGTGCGGTATGTGGGACTTGTTGACGTTTTGTAATATTAATTTGATTTTTTAGTGATATCTTCAAACGACTGCCTAGCTATCGGTGTAGAAAGTTTGCCTTTTGTGTTCTACAATGGTGGAAAGAGATCAGCGGCTCTCTACAGTTTGCACAGAAATAGTGAAGTGAGTTCACATCTGGGTATTCGATATCTTTCGAGTACTCACAAGTCGCTCAACAGGTTTTCTGATCCTGTTACTGGGATCTCAAAGCCCGTAATGGAATTCTGGCTCTTCTGAGAGTGTTTTGATTCAAATTTTTGCCTTTGTTTTCACTAGTCTTTCATATCATATTCATATTTAGGTCTTTGCGCACCATATTCTGCGCCAATTGTTGAAACGAAATCTCGGTGTGTTCGCCTTGGAAGTGGCCTCAGCATGTCGTCATCTACCACATTTCGCTCACTCTCTTGAACTACTTCTGCATGGTGTGCTGGAGGAGGAGGCCACAAGCAGCGAGCCTATACCAGGTAATTTTGGCCTAAGGAGTACTTCAACATTCAGATTTATGATTTGAATTTGTCTACAAATTGCATATTTTCTAGATCCCCTACTTCCGCGATGTGTTGCTTTCATCCAAGAATTTCCCGAATTCCTCCGTACGGTTGCTCACTGCGCTAGAAAAACTGAACTAGCGCTTTGGTCGTCTTTATTTGCTGTAACAGGCTCTCCAAATGATCTTTTTGAGGTATTTTATAGGTTTTTTTCGAGTGCTAGTCAGGAGATCCATGTTCTGGCGACAAACAGAATCTAGCTAGCGTTTCGTAGACTCGGCATATGCTGCTTTAAGTAGGTCCTGGTGCGAATGCCGCGTGTGACGTCAACCGCAACAAGCTTACGTAGCGTTGCCGCAAAGTGGATCTCCTACACGGCACCTCTTTTCTCCTTTTACACTTCCTTTTTGCCTGGCAGCTCATTTGGACTACCCTCTCGATTACTACCGTATTTCCCTGAATTTCCAGGTGTGCCTTCGTGACGGACAACTACATACAGCTGCAAGCTATCTCATTGTGCTTCAGAGTATTGAGAATACGCAAACAAGTCAAGAGGTAAGCGAAATAATCTGGCAGAGCTGGAAGGTGAGTAAGGTTGTTGTCTCAGCAAGCTATTCGTCTTCTCCGAGAAGCATTATCTGCGGGAGAATGGGGTATTGCAAAAGATATGGTGAGATTTACTCGTGCTATTGGATCAGAAGATATGGATAGCCCGGCGAGGTTAGTCATCCTTTTCCGTTTTGCCAGTAATTTGAGAACGCTTCTGAAAGGTGTCAGCGTTATTTTCTTGGGTAACAATTGATTCTAGAACACCTCCGCCAATGAGGACGTCATCCTCTCGCCGTCATGCAACATCAATTAATAGCGTTGCTGAAGCCGATGATTTGGTCTTTGCTCGTTTCCAGGGAGGTGAGTGATTTTTCTTTTTCAAGGTGACATTGCTGAACGCTCTCTGAGACCACTTTAATTGTCCGCTGTTATAATTAATTTCCTCCTTTCAGGGATAATAAAGGGCTAGTAAGGTCGTAAAAATCCTTAAAAGCACAAACACGATAATATGGTACTCGGTATAAAATGGTAGCACGGATGCTATGTAGTGGGGAAATGGCGAAAAAGCGAAGGAAACGGTCAAAAACCTGCAAAAAAGCCTTTGTTCTACACGACTCAGAAATTTCGGACGAGTTTCCCGTTGGCATCGTGCCAATAACCGCTACGGTAGATACGGCTGCATTATGTGCTCATATGTATATGCATGCACCGCAGCCATTTCATATAATCCCTTCGCTTAATATTGTATCTCACAAATGAAGCGATACGAGCATCAGCATCAATCGGACAATTGTGGGTGGGCGAGCATGGTGGGCGTCCGGATCGCTGTGATGTAGTTTGACAGGGCGCTACAAAGGTACTTTTTTTGGAAAAAGTGCCACACAGCGCTTGCTCAGGGCTGAACTCTGTCCTGGTAGTCCTTTTAATATTGCATCTCTTGGGTATTGTGTCGTGCCACTTGCTTCAACTTTGAGCCGTTAGTTTAACTAGCGTGTGATTTTCAGCTGTAGTTTCCTTAACTTGCTGTAAACGGGTTAATCATGCGGGTACCTCGCAGCTAAAGGTTTTTGGCCCATGGTGCTCAAACGCTATTTCTTGCAGGCAGTGAGCACGATTCCTGGTGCTGGATGCTTGTTGCTAGTGTCGTTGGTTGGAAGAGATTGGCCACACCTCCGCTGGCGTTGGGCAATATGGTAGAACGCTCTTCTACAGTCCTTCCACTATGACGCTGGCAACAACCGCCGGTCTCCAGCATCGTGCCCTCCTGCCTCTGAGTTACTGTTTCGTATATTACTCGTTCATGTTCCATCATTTGAAGGTGCCAGAATAACAAAGGTCCGGCATTCGCACGCTGACAATCGAGAATTGAATCGTAAGGACTCGGCAGGGAGCGGTAAACGAGCAACCAGGGTTGGTTT